TGGTGAACAATTTGCCCTCTTTTGAACTCCAGTATGTCCCAAATAATGTTATGTGCATTGCAATATTTTGAGCAAAACTGTGCTCTTACCCTGCTAATTGGACCTTCACACTCTGCTCTTACTGTTGCAATGTGCAATTCATGAAGATTGGCCACCAGGCTAGTCCAATTCAGGCATGAAACCTCCCACACTAAAATGAGAGGTGTTTCAGTTTCATTGTCCAACCCCTGTACATTGTTCTACAATTTTGTCTCATTTAGCCCACTTAAAAAAGGACTGGGGTCTACATATCCACACCCAGGTCCAACCTGGGCGTGGATATGTACTGACCACACTGAACCCACAGTGGGTTCAGTGTGGTCAGCCCACATGGTCTCCCCATGTTGGGCCCATGACATGAGCCCATGCTCATGTCATGTGGGTTCAGTGTGGTCAGCCCACATGGTCTCCCCATGTTGGGCCCATGATACTGAAACCACATGGGCCCCACATAGTTTTGCCCAGTACTATCCCATTCCCAGTTAGCCCACTTATAAAAGGACTGGGGCCTACATATCCGCACCCAGGTCTAACCCATATATGGTCAGCCCATGCTGATGTCATGTGGGTTCAATGTGGTCTGCCCACATGGGCTTCCCATGTTGGGCCCATGATACTGAAACCACATGGGCCCCATATACTGTTGCCCAGTACTATCCCATTCCCAGATAGCCCACTTAAAAAAGGACTGGGGCCTACATATCCACACCCAGGTCTAACCCATATATGGTCAGCGCATGTTGATGTCATGTGGGTTCAATGTGGTCTGCCCACATGGGCTTCCCATGTTGGGCCCATGATACTGAAACCACATGGGCCCCATATACTGTTGCCCAGTACTATCCCATTCCCAGATAGCCTACTTAAAAAAGGACTGGGGCCTACATATCCACACCCAGGTCTAACCCATATATGGTCAGCGCATGTTGATGTCATGTGGGTTCAATGTGGTCAGCCCACATGGGCTTCCCATGTTGGGCCCATGATACTAGAACCACATGGGCCCCACATACTGTTGCCCAGTACTATCCCATTCCCAGATAGCCCACTTAAAAAAGGACTGGGGCCTACATATCCACACCCAGGTCTAACCCATATATGGTCAGCCCATGCTGATGTCATGTGGGTTCAATGTGATCTGCCCACATGGGCTTCCCATGTTGGGCCCATGATACTAGAACGACATGGGCCCCACATACTGTTGCCCAGTACTATCCCATTCCCAGATAGCCCACTTAAAAAAGGACTGGGGCCTACATATCCACACCCAGGTCTAACCCATATATGGTCAGCCCATGCTGATGTCATGTGGGTTCAATGTGGTCAGCCCACATGGGCTTCCCATGTTGGGCCCATGATACTAGAACCACATGGGCCCCACATACTGTTGCCCAGTACTATCCCATTCCCAGATAGCCCACTTAAAAAAGGACTGGGGCCCACATATCCACACCCAGGTCTAACCCATATATGGTCAGCCCATGCTGATGTCATGTGGGTTCAATGTGGTCAGCCCACATGGGCTTCCATGTTGGGCCCATGATACTGAAACCACATGGGCCCCATATACTGTTGCCCAGTACTATCCCATTCCCAGATAGCCCACTTAAAAAAGGACTGGGGCCCACATATCCACACCCAGGTCTAACCCATATATGGTCAGCCCATGCTGATGTCATGTGGGTTCAATGTGGTCAGCCCACATGGGCTTCCCATGTTGGGCCCATGATACTAGAACCACATGGGCCCCACATACTGTTGCCCAGTACTATCCCATTCCCAGATAGCCCACTTAAAAAATGACTGGGGCCCACATATCCACACCCAGGTCTAACCCATATATGGTCAGCCCATGCTGATGTCATGTGGGTTCAATGTGGTCAGCCCACATGGGCTTCCCATGTTGGGCCCATGAAACTAGAACCACATGGGCCCCACATACTGTTGCCCAGTACTATCCCATTCCCAGATAGCCCACTTAAAAAAGGACTGGGGCCCACATATCCACACCCAGGTCTAACCCATATATGGTCAGCCCATGCTGATGTCATGTGGGTTCAATGTGGTCAGCCCACATGGGCTTCCCATGTTGGGCCCATGATACTGAAACCACATGGGCCCCATATACTGTTGCCCAGTACTATCCCATTCCCAGATAGCCCACTTAAAAAAGGACTGGGGCCCACATATCCACACCCAGGTCTAACCCATATATGGTCAGCCCATGCTGATGTCATGTGGGTTCAATGTGGTCAGCCCACATGGGCTTCCCATGTTGGGCCCATGATACTAGAACCACATGGGCCCCACATACTGTTGCCCAGTACTATCCCATTCCAGATAGCCCACTTAAAAAATGACTGGGGCCCACATATCCACACCCAGGTCTAACCCATATATGGTCAGCCCATGCTGATGTCATGTGGGTTCAATGTGGTCAGCCCACATGGGCTTCCCATGTTGGGCCCATGAAACTAGAACCACATGGGCCCCACATACTGTTGCCCAGTACTATCCCATTCCCAGATAGCCCACTTAAAAAAGGACTGGGGCCCACATATCCACACCCAGGTCTAACCCATATATGGTCAGCCCATGCTGATGTCATGTGGGTTCAATGTGGTCAGCCCACATGGGCTTCCCATGTTGGGCCCATGATACTAGAACCACATGGGCCCCACATACTGTTGCCCAGTACTATCCCATTCCCAGATAGCCCACTTAAAAAAGGACTGGGGCCCACATATCCACACCATGTCTAACCCATATATGGTCAGCCCATGCTGATGTCATGTGGGTTAAATGTGGTCTGCCCACATGGGCTTCCATGTTGGGCCCATGATACTGAAACCACATGGGCCCCATATAGTGTTGCCCGTTTCTATCCCATTCCCAGATAGCCCACTTAAAAAAGGACTGGGGCCTACATATCCACACCCAGGTCTAACCCATATATGGTCAGCCCATGCTGATGTCATGTGGGTTCAATGTGGTCAGCCCACATGGGCTTCCCATGTTGGGCCCATGATACTGAAACCACATGGGCCCCATATAGTGTTGCCCAGTACTATCCCATTCCCAGATAGCCCACCTAGTTGCTGAATAGGGCCCATGCATTTAGCCCATATGGGCCAGCCCATATGGGTCTCATTTTAGGTTAACCATATGTGTCCCATGCAGTTCGCCCAGATAAAACCCATGCCCACTCATTACCCATGTAGCCCACATCAAACACAAGTGGGGCCCACTCATGCGTGCTGGCTGGGAAGTAACACAAAAAAAACCATACTGTCTTCTTTGTCTTTTCCGCCAGCAGTGACATCCGGTTGTTGAAAGAAACGCAACTTCATCCCTGCGCTAAAACGTTTCATCGCGTTTTTTTGAAATTGTTTCCAAGAAGCAAAATTATTTTCATAATTCAAATTTGCAAAATGTTATGGTTAATGAAAACACTCCTAGAGAGAAAGACATGGAAATAAAGTCACTCTGCTCAACACAACTTTGATCACATCGTCAAAAGTTTCTCAGCCTCCTGCTGTGCTGATCCAATTCCCCCTGTGGAGGCAGAAGGAAAAAGAGCCGGGGGTCATGATTCATATTTATGACAAGAGCCAGACCAGCAGTCGCCTCATTAGCAGAAAGTCACAGGCCAAAGACTTCTCTGAGTCACAAGTGGTTTGAGAAAATGTTAAACTGTGAGTTAGGGCTATTGTCAATAGAAAAACAAAAAGAGGAGAACATTTTCTTCAAAAAACTGATAACTGATAATGTCTAGAAAATGAAGAAAATTTCAATCCGAAAAGTTCCATCCATCCATCCGTTTTCTGGTCACCCTTCTCCCTAACGGGGTCGGGAGGTGCTGGCGCCTCTCCAGCTGCGTCCCGGGCGAGAGGCGGGGTTCACCCTGGACAGGCCGCCAGCCTGCAGCAAGTCTGAAAAGTTGAAAATTTTATTTTAAAAATTTAAAATTGACCTCAGAAATTTTCTAAAAAAATTCCAATTTTCAAAAGTTGAAATTTCAAGACTAACATATTCTAGAAAAACTCTGAAATTCCTGAATCTGAAAAGTTGAAAATTTGCATTGAAGAAATGTTTTAGATTAATCTCAGAAGGTAAAAAAATAGATATACATTTTTCAAATTCAGTCACTTCCAATTATTTGTGGATTTTTTTTGTTTTAGCAAAAATTTCTTCTCTTTTTGTATCTAAAACGGCCCCAATATGCTAATGAATGATTAAAATATTTGAACATGAGAGCAGAATCCTGGTCACTGGCAGAACAGTTCCATCAAATCATTTATAGAAAAAAGAGGAAATGGCAGCTTGGATCCAAAATGGCCGACTTCCTGTTGGGAGCCATCCAGTTGTGATGCTTTATATGCATCACATGTTACCCGGACCTTAGTAATAACAACATGTAGACACATAAACATGTCTGTTCTTTGCTTTTCCTTGTTTTCTATCTTTTGTTGTTTTCTCTTTCTTTTGGGTTTCTTTCTTTCTTACTTTCAGAACCTTGTTTGTTATCATGAAAAAATAACTTTTACAAAAAATCAATTTATAGCTTAATTTTTGTAAAGGAGGTTTGAATTGGACCAAACTGGGTCCTTAAATGTGAAACTTCTGGACCTGTTTGTTGGTATTAAAGTTGTTTTGTTCCCATTACATCCTTGAATTTATTTCACTGAAAACAATCTGAGGGTTTCTAGTTTCCCTCAGATGAGAGTTTGTTTATATTTGCTCAGGCTGAGCATCAGAGCCGACGCTCCTGTTTAAAACTAAGCTGCACCTGCAGGATGAACCGTCTCCGGGCTCTCCAGCCTCGCACCCGATTGGGCAGCCTCCGCGCCGCGTCAGCAGCATCAGCGCGGCTCAGCCAATCAGAGCGCAGCAGGTTAACGCAAACATCCCTGATGCTGCAGCTGTGTAGTAGCAACCCCAGAAACAAGCACTGCTGCTCTGACCGCGTGGATTAAAGCAGATTAATTAATTTAAAATGTTCCCACGGTGATCGTGACCTTTTAATAGGCGCTGATTAAATCGAGAGGAGGATGGAGGCTCGATCGATTATTGGAGAAAGTACTGATGCGATAGTGGTGGATGATTCTCCGACTGAAGAGAAGGAAATTCAGCAGACTGCTCAGAGGTGCGTTTCTTTTTTCTGCATGAGAAATTCATATAAATCCGCATTTGGGTTTAATTATTGAAAAAGTCTCAATGAGTGATGACGTCAGCTGCTGGAAGGTCTGATGGCATCAACATTGTAATTACCTGCATTTTTAAAAACATCTTCATGTTTTCATTGTTGCAGGTCAAATGATCTGCATTGATTTAGTAGAAAAAACCTACGGGCTGCCATTTGTACCAAAATTGATTGGTGTTATTTTTTAAAAACTAATATTTAACTATGTTGTTCTTAAATTTATAAATGTCAACATTCCAAACTAAATATTTAAGTCACAAACTACATTTGGCTTGCAAACTAAATATTTAGCTTTTGATTTAAATGTTAAGTCAGGAACTAAATGTTTAGTTTGTGAGCTAAATATTTAGTTGATTAAGTCTGAACTAAATATTTAATTTCCAAACTAAATATTTAGAAATATTAGTTTTCAAACTAAAGGTTCCTAACTAAATATGTCATTCACAGGCTAAATAGTGTTGCTAACAAACTAAATATTTAGCTTTTAATTCAAACATTTAGTTGGTAAATATTTAGTTCCCACGTGAATATTTAATTTAAGAGCTAAATATTTCCTTCCTGACCAAACATTTGATTTGTGAGCTAGATTTTTAGCAGTAAAGCTAAATATTCAGCTTCCTGTATACATATTTAACTCATGAGCTAGATGTTTAGTTTACAAACTAAATATTTAGATATAAACATTTAATTAGAAAATATTTATTTAGTTTGCAAGCTAAATATTTAGAACCAAGTATTTTTAAGTCCAAGCTAAATATTTGGTTTCCTAAGTAGTTAGTTTGAATATGTTCAATGTAAATATTATTCAAACTTTAGTTTGAATAATCAATATTTAAGCTTTTCAGCTAAATATTTAGTTGGAAACTAAATACTTAGTTTGTACGCTAACCATTTACTGCCAAGTAAATTGGTCAGACTAAATATTTAAGTCCGACCTAAATTTCTATTTATTTAGCTTCCTTTCTAAATATTTATTTCACAACCTATTTAGTTTTTAAACTAAATATTTTTAAATGCTTAGTTTAAAAACTAATGATTCAGTTCTCTAGCTAAGTATTTAATTTAAATATTTAATTAGAAAGCTAAATATTTAGCTTTCTAATTATTATATGTTTATAAATGTATGAATAACATTTTGAAAATATGTATGTAGATGTTTTATTGTGTAGATTTACAAATGGCCACCCGAACAGAACCTGATCTCATTGCACTGGCCTGTTTTTGCATTTAACGGACTGAGTCCAGCAGGAAGCGAACATGAAAATGTTGACTTGTCAGAAATCAGCTGTTTCTTTCCCTGCTGTTTGGCTTACAGATGTCAGCCAGTCACTCATTCTGATCCCCAGCAGCTTTTCTACTTGGCAGGAAAACATCAGACAATGAGGCTGAGAAAACATGGAGCTAAACTCAGCAGCGTCTGTCGCTACAAGGAGAACACGCCTGTTCTTCTTCTTTGACATGCAAAACGCAGAATCTCCAAGTTACTTTAGGTCGAGTCCCAACAGATCTGATTTCTATAAGAATCAGCAGTCAGTATCTGGATTGACAGATTGAGAGTTTACTGAGGAAATATGTTGTTTTAGGAGAACGTGAACATTAGGCAGGGCCGGTCAAAACTTTTTGGGACCTAGGGTAGATTTCATTGGGGGCCCATCATACCGACATTTCAACACCAGATGTGTGCAACATAATTACTATCGTTAGCGTTGTTTGTAATTAGCTTCGTCATATCGGTGTCATGAATTTCTTGAGATAATTCATGTTTTTTGTTCTAACTGTATGAACTGGACTCTTATTTTGAAATACCCAGGTATTTAAACTGGCTAAATACTGCAAAAGTATAAAATCTTGCGAAGTATTTTGGTCTAGTTTCTATATCTATATCTTGGTATACATAAAATAAGAAAAAAAATTATTTATAAGCAATTTTACAGCAATATATTTAAGCTTGTTTTAAGTCAATAATTCCTTAATATTGAGGAAAATGTACTAATTCCATTGGCAGATTATTTCACTTACAACATGGGAAAATGTTTACTTAGAAGTGAAATAGTCTGCCAGTGGAACTTGGATGTTTTGAATTTTTCTCAGAATTCCAATTTTCTTGAATTTTGATTTTTTTGTCACAATTCTGAGATTTCCTTCAGAATTCTGACTTTTTCTTAGAATTGAAAATTTTATTTATTTTGAGTTTTTCTCTCAGAATTCTGACAAATTTTTAACTTGATTGATGAATGATGACCTTGTTTTCTCCCTCTCTTAATATCTGAAGACAATGAATAGATGAGACTGTTATGCAGACATGCTAATTGAAACTGGAGCATTTTTTCTCATAAGAGCTTATTATAAATAATTTAGTTTAGTTTACCTATAAACTAACCATCGCCGCTGGTTTTGGTTTCCTCTTGGGACTTTTAACAGGTTGGAAAAACAACCAGAATCAAAGCCAGCACTGAGATCTGCAGGAAACGCGTGTTTAGCTTGTGGTTATTCTGCTAAGCTCAGATTTTCAGCTCCACAAAGGTTTTCCACTGTGTCTGTTTATATTCGGTGCACTAGGAGTGGAGCAGCAGTGGGAAGTAATTTCAGATGCGGATTCCCACAGCAGCTTCACACGAGCCACACTGACGTCAAAGTCCTGTTTCAGACACAGTCCTGTGTGGATCAGTTTTTGTAATTTCTCAGAAATATTAATAAATTAAGTAAATTATGGTTCCCTATTCACTAAATACTAATAAAATGCTTCATGACAAAGAGCTGCTGTGTATATTTTGCTTTATAAATCAGTTAGATTCTTTAGCACACAGAAATCTTCAGGTTTACTGTATTTTTAACCTCATCTGAGCCTCTTACTGCTCGATGCGACTGTATCTGCGAGGTCAGCCAGGTTTCGCTGGCTTCCTCTACTGCCATGGTTACGAGACGACAAGACTGGCTGCGTCCAGACTGCTGGAAAAACAAACAACGCAGTCCCTTCACGCAGAACAGCCATTAGGCAGCAGCCTGGGCTGTTTATGAGTAAATTATGCAACGCTTCAGTTTAGAGCAGAGCTGTGCAGGGGCTGATGCAGAAGCAGGTCAGATACGTTGTTTTGTTGCACATGCAGGTTTGAACAGTTGTGGATCGAGTAGAAAGAGCGTTTTCTATGGAGTTAAGCTTGATAAGTGTTGGAAAAGTACAGGGTTACAAACACTTTCAGGGTTTTCACACCTCATTGTCCATTAGACCTTTGCAACATCTGTTACATTTTCAACTTCTGTGGTTTTCTTTCACACTGCAACGTGTCAAACGAACCAAATCCTTTGAAAAACCTGTTCCCATCCTCTCCTCTGGGGGTGCTGCACCAAGAGCTACTGCAGGAAACAACAAGAAAACCTCTGAAGAAGACATGAGCGCAACTTCCTTTTTCATACAATGTAAACAAAAATGGAGTGGGCTCAGATTTTAGCTGTTGTAGGATTTCTCTTTGGGAGAAGTCCACATGACATTTATCCCTATAACGCTAAACTTGTGTGTTTGTATTTACCCAGAATGCCATGCGCTTTAATCCACTTCCTGCTTTTGGAGCGGTCTCCAGTTGACGTTCACATAAGCATTTGAGAGTTCACTTCAAATGAACCGAGACTGAGGGTTTTAAGTGGACCAGAGTTCACTTTTAGCAGAGTTCACTTTTAGCAGTCAACGCTAAATATTAAACGCATGCGTGATGCATAAGAAAAGACGCAATGATTTTCTACTAATTGTCAACAGTATGACAACAAGATGAGGTCAGAAAAAGTTTTAATTAAAAGAAGAAATAGGTAGGTAGAGGGAAGTAGATCATTTATGCTGGCTTGACTATGACAACCTTAACATGTAGGCGTGCTGCAGAATTGCAATATAAGGCGACCCAAACACCAACTCTCTGAAGGGTCATCAATAGCAGGTATTTAAATTAGCTATTCCATCACCACTAGTGTTCAGAAGATAAACTTCTATCTTTTTGCAGTATCTGAAGATCAGACCTACCTACATCAACCATCTTCTTCTCCTTTTTATTTAGCTACAATTTGTTTCTGAATCCATTTCTTGCCTCATGATTGATGCTGAGTTGTGCATTTTTACTCTGAATCTATGAGAAAAAGGTTATTGCTTGTGCGATAATTCCTTCATTTCCAGGTATTTCTTCCATTGTGTTGTTGGGGTTACATGCCTTTATTTGTCTTTGCTCAGTTGCATCCCGGTGGTTTCTCTGCGCCCCCCCGACGGCTCCGTAGAGGCCCAGCTGACCGTCATCCCCTCTGCAGAGGAGCTGTGTGACAGCTGCAGCAGCCTGGGCAAACCCTCCTCCTCCTTCCAGCTCTACCATCAGGTACGTCTGTGTGTGTCTACCTGGAGCACCGGGTCCAGCAATACCTGCTATATGTAGAAAATACTCCCAAACGGCCATTGTTTTATTCAAATGTATGCAATAACGTATTCTTAACTGTCTTTATTCAAATATATGCAGATGATACTGTTATTTATATGCATGGTACAAACATAATTCAAGTAACAAATAAAATTACACAGTCTGCACTGTAACACACAACATATTACCAAGTAATTTTTTTAGTTCAAATATCTTATCTCACTTGAAATAAGACAAAATTAACTTACAAGTAAATTTTTAAGTCAACAATTCCTTAATATTAACAAAAAAGTATTCATTGTTCTAGCAAATTATTTTCCTTATGACATTGGAAATTATCTTGTTATACTTTTTCAGGAATTATTTACTTAAATAAGATTATATTTCTTGCCTACACGATACTTTTCTCTAACTTCAAGTGAACTAAGATATTGGCACTAGAAACTGGACCAAAAATACTTGGTAAGATTTTTGTGTTTTTACAGTTTTCTTAGACGTTTTATAATAATTGTGTAGTACTTGGCTTTGTTTTGTATTTGCTGTTTTATAATGTGTGTAATTAAGTCACTTGAACCTTTATTATATGCATTGTCCAAAAACAGATTAAAATTTTTTTTTTGTCTAATTCTAATGCATTTAAAAAAGTTTTAATCAATGTGCAAATCAGTCCCTACTAAATACATAGTGTACTTTGTCTGACCATGCCTTTTTTTTTTTTTACTTTGACTAGACCGATCATAAAATGTGTTACTCTTCCTTAAGGTCCCACAGCGTCTTCAGACTGGAGGCTGCCATTCGCCGTGCCACCATAAATGCCCCCACTGCAGCCGTCACGGACCAGTCAAAGCCCACTGCTGCCACAGCTGCCATGCGGACGGAGGGCTGGCGGTGAAACCCGGGCACAGCTGTGGTTCTGGCCAGCAGGCGTCCTGCCACGGGTCGGCCAGGTGCCACTGGCTGCACGGGTCGAACGAAACCAGAACCAAACCGAAGCAGCGCCATGTGGCGTCAGTAAGGTGGGACAAAATAAAACACCAAGACATGTTTTCCAGCAATGAAATATGATTTTGTTAAGATTATTTTAACCATATTTTTCTGACTTTAAGAAGTATTTTGGTCTACTTTCTAGTGCAAAATATCTAAGTACACTTAAAATAAGATAAAGCTAACTTACAAGTAACTTTGCAGCAAGATTTTATCAAGATATTGATAAAAAAATAGATTATATCACTTATAATGGGGAAAAAGTCTTAGTGAAGAAATCTTCCAGTGGAATTAGTATTTTTTATTCAATATTATAATTCAAATGTTAGACAACATGTAGATCATTTCTGGCATAATTATGTTCTGTTATTAGTATGACATTTTTAACGTTTACAGGACTGGAGGACTTTACGTCATCATTAGAAAGTGAGTATTAAATCCCAGTGCAGGATTCATAATTTCTTATTTTTCTTCTGTTATTGTTAAATACTTAATTTAACAAGAAATTTTATTTCTGTTTTTGCAGGTATTCCCAGCTGTTAGTGGACCGACCGTTACTGGTGCTGCTGGTTTGTGCCATCCTGCTGCTGGGATTGTCACTGGCTGGACTCTTCATTGGGTCTCTGCCAGATTTCTCTGATCCGCTTCTGGTGGGTAAATGAGACGCACTGAGTGAGCAGGATGTGTTATGAAAATCTCACCATCTCTTTCACACCTTACCTACGACAGAAACTTCTGGTGACTGTTTCAGTCGCTCCAGTCTCACGTTTAATTTAAATTATCCCAGCAGTAAAGACTAATTGATATGGAAAGTAAAATTTGAGCCAACCAAGAAAAATATGAAATACGCAATGCTCTGAGGGCAAAAATGTACCTTTAAGAATATTTTTACTGCACTTGTAATTTTATTATGAAGTATTTCTACTCAAGTAAAATTTCTGGATTTCCTACCCACTGAAATGAAAAATAAACATGTTTTAACCAAAAAAATTTACCAGACAGACATACACCTGCAGTTTTTATCGAAAGAAATCGATTTAGAAAAAAATTGTCTTTTTCCTGATTTTGCTGTTTTTTGTTACTTATATGAATTATTGTAATTTTGTCCTCTTAACTTTATATTTTGGTCCATGTGATGTAATTTTTAAAATATTTAAAATATTGGTCAGTTCTTGTGCAGACTTTTTACCAAATACTATTTATTCCTGAGTAATTTCTTGGACGGCTACGTTTTACTTTAGTAAAAATATGTTGAAGAAGTGCCACTCTAACTTGAGTAAAAGTTTTGTGTTCTTTCCTCATAACTATCTTTGTTTCTGAGTGAGTCGTTGTGCTCTGAACGTCTCAGGGTTTCCAGCCGCGGGGAACGTACATCGGAGTTCGACTGTCCAGCTTGTCCAAGCTGCAGCAGGAAACCGGCCCGGGAAAAACTCTTTCTGCTGAGCCACAGCAGCTCAGCAAAAGGTCAGCCGAGAGTCAGAGTACAATGAGATGTTTCTGCAAACCATTCTGTTGGATATTTTAACGCGTTTCTAGGTCAAACTGGCAGAGTTTCTTTAAACTGTTTGGTTGAGGTCAAGGCCATTGCAGATGCTAAATGTTACCCTGCTTTATCTAATCCAAACTTCTCTCAGGTGGAAGAAAATTGGTTTGGATTTAGTAAATATCAGCCTGTCACCATAACATTTTTTTCAGGATGATAAATTCTCCCAGAATTTGTTGCAATAAACAATATTTTCATTTTCAAATAATCTAATGGCAATGGCATAATAAGGCATAGTAATAAACAAGAACACATTCTTAAAAATAAATAAAAAACAAATTCCAATGAACAATTAACAATGGAACTAGAAGACATTTTAAATATATAAAAAATAAATAAAACAGAAACAACAAATAAAAGTAATTATTTTCTCTCTGTAAACAAAATTGTCCTTCAAAAAAAAAAAGATTGGTTCCAACCAAAGCACCAGATTGAAGACTAATCATCCAGCTTTTGGTAGAAAGACAGAAAAGAAAAGAAAGATAAATTATGTAAATTAGAATTATTGAGCTTCCTTTAATTTGTCATACAATTAATTGACTTATTTGTTGTAACAGGCCTACTTGCAAGCTATTGTTTAATAAGTTAATCTAAAGTTGATTAACTATGGACAACATACACATTGTCTTCAGTCAGAGGGATCTTGAAATTTGCTGTAGTACAGACTGCTACAGGAAATATTTCCTGTATCACTACACACAATGACGCTATAAGAATTTTAATTAATATGAGTAACAACAACATTTAACAAAGTATTTTTGAATTTAATTGATTAACGATTAATTGATAAGCGGCCATTTTCTGAAAAAAAATAAGTTTTCTCTTATTTTAAGGTCAACCATCATTGCATAACAAATTTACCTGAATAAAGAGAAAATTCTGATTTTCTCTAATATCTGAAAGTGTTTATATACATATGTATATATACATAACAAAAAACAGGAACTTCTTGAGTTTCTGAACAGAAAAGTAAAGATGTGTTTGCTCTTGAAAGAAAGCTAAAACTTTTCTCTGTGACGTGCATTAACTCACCACAGCCATTAATCAGCTTATTGACGCCATGATTTTCCGTCATGTCAAACTTTAGGAACCGGTCGAGTGTTTATACTTCAACACATAACTGCATAAAGTGCATTTTAATCCCGCTACCGACTCCGTTTGGACCGTTTGTTTTGGCATCGCCCGCCGCCATCTTTGTTTCTATTTCGCTCGTTCCGCCTGAAGATGAGTAGCGGGGCCCTCTGCTGGACGGCGGCTAAACTGCAACACTAAATAAAAGATGGCGTAAACTGACGTTATTAGTTATTCAATTGGAACTCATTTTAATCTATAAAACCATTAGACGTAAAGTGGATTAATTGTTTGTATCTTTAGTTAAAGAACAACCAGGAATGGTCAAAGCTTAACTGAAAACATCTGAAATATCAGTGCCACTGTTCAATGAAGCAGGTTAATGGGTTAAACCACATGGTCAGAGGAGAAAAACCACTACGGCTGGCAAGAAATATGTTTGAAGAAGTCACTGTGAGGCTTTCAGTCCTTAATACCAACTGCCAAGTGCAGTGGTGGCAGCGTCATGCTCTGGGCTGATTTACTGGCAGATAAACTGATGAATTGCAAAAACTACGGGTTTGAAAATATATATTTGATATAAGTGGATATTTCATATCCAGCTGGAGTGAAGTCAGAAGCTTTTAATGTTGAGCACATACATATAATTTTGGCCCTTTGAGGATTTAATAAAAATCCACAATAAATTACAACTTTTTGACCAATTATAGTTTATAAAGTTAATTGCAGTTGCTTGTTAAGTGATCATTCCACCATGAAACAATGAAACCAGGCCAAACTAATGAGTTGCTTTTTCCTGTAATGGCTGTACATTTATTCAGAATTGATTATTCATAAAATTAAAGTATAATGCATTTACATTTGTAAGATCAGACGTGTTTTCTGACATTTCAGCTTTGCCAAGGCCAGCGCTGTCAGCAGAGACAGTAATGGCAGTCAGCTCGTCTCCAGAGGTCGACGTGTTAAGAGGATGCTGGCTGCTGACTTTTCTCTGGACACTTTCCTCTGTGATGCTCCAGGTGAGGAAGACCTGAACCACCCAGTTCTTTAATTAAAGAACACATTATTCTTCTTTAATTAAAGAACACATTTTGCATGTTGTTATACTTTCCATTTGTGTTTCTGCTGCTTCTAAAATCAGCCAAAGCGCTCAAAAGAAAACACTCGGATATTCTTTGGCAATAAGTTAATGTTTTATGGTGTGTAGAAAATGGGCCGCTTCACAAACCTCCTTATTGCACAACCACGCTGCTCTGTTACCTAGCAACCTCAGTGGAGTTCCACCTGTCACCTAGCAACCCAATAAGAACTCCAGTATATTTGTTCAGCTGGTTTTGCTGTTGTACAATGGCTTCTAGAAAAGACAAAGGTTTTGTTGTTGACTGACTATTTAGAAACCACCTGCTGCATTCTTGTTGGTTGTGCAGGAGGCCCCATTTCTGCTTTTCAAAGATATACGGTTTTATAATTGTTCATCTGTTTTCAGCCATTTTCACATGAGAGTGTAAACATTAAGTTGGCGGAGTGGCCAGAAGAACTTATTTGGATTTAAAGTGACAAGACTCCCTGAGAGAAACTCATAAAATGTAGAAATCACCAGGCTAAAATAATAATTTTGTGCAAAAAATGTGACAAACGTGTTTTGTATAGATGAGGGGTGTCCAAACTTTTTGCCATGTGGGCCAAAATTGTTGACTCAAAAGTAGTAGAGGGCCAATAAAAAGAAAAACTAACTAAAACTAAGCAAATAAAGTAACCAGATTCTTATTGAAGATCCAAATGTTGGAAGGGATTTTTACGACAGCCATATATTCAGGGCCATTATAAGCAAATAAAAAAAACAATAAATGTCAGAAATGTTGTGATGAATCTCAGATATTTTCTAGAAAATTTTTGATATTTGAATTTTTTATAAATTTCCATCTTCATAGAATGCACTCAAAATTTCTTTGTTTGCTGGCAGAAAATTACTCCTACTTTAATTTTGCACGTTTGCTGTATTAAAAGAAAGACGTTTAGTTTTCAGTTTCTTCTAGGCTGGATTGAATACATTTATTTTCAGTAATAAAAACAGGATTTGGGTTTCAAAACATTTGCTCTATTTAGCTAAGTTAAATAAAGAATAAAAGCTGAACTGGGTGCAACAAAGTTGGCTTTCAGTAAAAGTCTCATAATTTGACCTTCTGTTAAGACTTGGTTTTAAAACCATGAATACTTTGTGTTGTACTTTTCATTTTCCTCTGTAACGAAACCATATTGGTGCAGACCATAAACCTATCCCAACCTGCTCAAGGAAACATCGTAGGTCTTCTTTAAACCAGACAAAAACTTGCTATATCTTGAACTAGAAATACGTAAAAGATCCCTGACTACATCATGGATCATGAAAATACCAAGTTTTGTGATGTGGTTTAGTAGTTCAGAAGAAGCAGTTTTATATGTGGCTTTAAGTGGAAAGCCAATTTCTGTTTAAGGTTTAACTTTTATGTTTTTAATGAAACGCAGAAATCTCCCTCAGTAGATTTATTAGCCTGATTTTTGTTTGGCACAAAATGTGTTGATTGCCGTCTTTCATCTCCATCGTATCATACCTCAGCGCAATTCACAAGCTTTTCTTTTTTTAACCCACTTTGATGTTCGCTAACCATCCCTTGAATCACATGATTCACCGCCGGTCATCTCGCTCTGGTCGCCTGACGCCATCTGCTTCTCTCTGCAGGCGAGCGCTACGCCCAGCTGGTGTTTCGATCCGAAAACTCAGCCAGTCTCTGGAGCCTGAAGGCCATCCACGCCATGTGTGAGATGGAGCAATCCAGGGTTAGCTCACTCCTCTGTCAATGCCACTTCTTATCTGTTTGACAGTCTTGACCAAAAACATTGTACATTGTATACATGAGCTAAATTATGAAAAATCAGTTCATGTATTAAATGAGTTTTCACCATTTTATTGGTGACGTGCAGACAGGAGGAACATGCACCCATAGAATGGCAGCCTATAAATACTAAGTTTGCTATAAATACTAATCAAAGTGCAGTTAATGCAGTTTGAGCTGCAGGAAGTGTGTTGTAGAGCAGTTAGCGGGAGGTTGATCAATCCCAGGTGAGGCTTTTTTGAGCATTTGAATGGAAAAACAATCAGAATTGGTTAAGCTAAATGGAAAATAGGTACTTTCTTGTAGAAACAACAGGGTGAAAACAGCAATATACATAATTTTATCTTTATATATTATTTTTCCATGATCGCACGTCGCTGACCGAATGTCATAGGAGGTTAATTTCTTGACTGTGACTTAGTTTCAGAAGCGGGCCTGAGTTCAGAAAGCTTTGTTTGTTCTCCCTGTGAACCAGATTCGGTCCCAGGCTCAGTTCCAGGACCTGTGCCAGCAGCCTGAGAGCGTGGAATCGGAGGGAACGCCGAGAAGTGGCTGCTGTCCAAGCTGGTCTTTGGGGAATTACTTGGCAGTTCTCTCCAACGCCTCCTGCTGCCTCAGCCTTACCTCCCAACAGGCACTGTAGCTTTATGTTATCAGCTCCCAGCTAATTAGATCTCACCATAATGTAACAGGCTGCAGTTGTTTGGATTGGCAAATTGAGAAGGTCAGTTATGGATTTTCCAGAAAGTCTGAATTCATAATGGAGTTTGGAGTCTCGCTCTGGCTGAATTGTGCCAGTTTTATCAGGAATTGTTTATGTCAAGCCGTAGTTAACTTTCATCATTGCCAAGGGAGTTTTCTTTTCAGTGCTAGGCTTTTACTTTTATAACTCTAACCAAGGAGTTGAAGCTGAGCTATTTTATGTTGTTGCCCAAAAAAAGGAACTGAAACTGAAATTTGACTTGTTCCAGATGTGAAATGACACCTAAATGTCTCAGATTGTCAGACAAATTATAATCTCTGAAAAAAAAACCCAACAACTTAATTTAATACAAAATGTAGTTTGGAAATTATGATTTTTCTTTTTAATTAAGTGAAAGAAGCTAGTATTTTTGCATAGTTTTTAGTGCAAAATTCTTATTAGACTTGAAATGAGACAGAACGAACTCACAAGTAGCTTTTCAGCACAATAAAGGAGCTTGTTTTAAGTAAATAAGTTCTTTATATTGATCTAAAAGTACTGGTTCCATTGGCCGTTTAGTTCAGTTATTACAAGATATATTTCCCATCTTTCAGGTGAAATAATCTGCCAATTGAACCAGTACTTTTAGATCAATGTCAAGAAATAGAAACAATCTCCTATTTCTTTCCTGAAAAGTTCTTATAAGTTAGTTTTATCTGATTTGAGATATTTGCACTAGAAACTGCATGAAAATACTTGATAAAATTGAGTGTTTTTGCAATGCAGCTTTCATATCTACAGTGTGAAAGCTGGATAAACGCCTAGAGCTCCTGTTCCTTGGTCTCATTTTCTGCTATCCTGTTGCCGCTCCAGGTCTCAGAGTCTTTGAATCTTCTCCGGAAATGTGCTCCATCCTACCACCGGGGAGATCTGACCGCGGCCTGTGCAGAGAGACCCATGCATGGCGGCTGCCTCGCCGTTCCCTCCCGCTGTAAACAATCCCGCGTTGTGTTCCAGATCCTGCACTACCTCGTTGACAAAGACTTTCTCGGCCCTCAGACCGTCGAATACCAAATACCGACGCTGAAGTACAGCCTTCTGTTCTTACCCATCCAGAAAGGAGAGCACATGATGGAGATCTACATGAACAGCCTTGAAGGAAGAGATCTGATGTACAATAACACGACCATCACCGGGATAGACTTTGGTATCAAGAAGACGCTGTTCAGATATTACTTGGTGAGAGATTCGGTGTTCCCGGTCCTCGCTGTTTTATCCCTCTTGTTCACCATGGTTTTATATCTCCAGTCCTTCTTCACTGTAGCATTATCTGTTCTAGCAATCACAGTCTCTCTCCTGACCTCGTATTTCTTCTATAAAGTAGCTTTTCACCTGACTTTCTTCCCGATGGTGAACCTGGCAGCAGCTCTGATTCTCTTAGGAAGTTGCTCCAATCAGGTTTTTATCTTTACAGATTTCTGGAATCTGCAGCTAATGCAAAACCCTTCAGCCTCCCTGGAGAAGAGAGTGAACAGAGCCTTACAGGAAATAGGCTATATTATCTTAGCTTCAGGCTTGACCTCCAGTGCAGCTTTTTTCTGCGGTTATCTCAGCAGCATCACAGCAATTAGATGTTTCTCGATTTATCTGGGGACTGCTTCCGTGATCAGCTGTCTGCTGGCGTTAGTGTGGCTGCCGTGCTCTTTCATCTTGCTGGAGCGGTCCAGGAAGGCGCCCGCTGCGTCTGTGGTGGTGCAAACCTGGAAGCCCCACTGCTCCAAAAACCTGGGTGGCTTCTGGGAAACGAGTTCCTGTAAGAGGTGCATCTTCAGCCTGGTGCAGAAGCTGAGAGAACTGAAAAGAGGCCTGTCAGACACCTCGAACCTGCTGTTTCTGAAAATCCTACCCTGTGGGGTCGTGAAGTTTCGCTACATCTGGGTGTGCTGGTTTGCGGTTCTTGCTGCCGGGGGCACATACATGTCCTGCGTTGACCCGGGCATGAGGTTACCCACTCTGGACAGCTGTGTCGCCCAGCTGTTCCGCTCCAGCCACCCTTTTGAGAGATACGACGCAGAGTACCGCCACATGTTTATGTTTGAGAGGCAGAGGAATGGAGAGGACAAACCCGTCACTGTTCTGCTCGTTTGGGGCATCAAACCGACTGATAATGGAGATCACTTTAACCCACAGAGTAACGGCTCCCTGGTTTTTGACCCTGACTTTAACATGAGCAGGCCGGACGCTCAGGTCTGGCTCAGAGATCTGTGTGGAAGGGTTCAGAACCAAAGCTTTTACTCTGCTCCAACACCAGAAAACAAAGATGTCGTGACGGAAAACGTCTGCCTTGTGGAGCAGCTGGTGCGCTGGGTGTCTGTCGGGCGGTGCTCAGGAACCACTGATGCCCTTCATCTCTGCTGCAGCAACATCACCTTCCCTTTCCCTCCCAGCGTCTTTGAAAGCTGCCTGAATATGATGCTGGCAGAGAAACACGCTGAGAGCCATGCGCCTCATCGTGGAGGCCTGTACTTCCTGCCAAATGGCTCGGCAGCTGCCCTCGTTCTGGAGTTCCAGACCACCCATCTCTACAGCTTCAACTTTAGCAGAACCAGTGGTTTTTACAGGGAAATCCTGACATGGTTCAACAAAGAAATGTCAGGAGCCCCACAAGGGCTGGAGAACGGCTGGTTCATCAGCCAGCTGTCTCTGTTCGATCTACAGCAGTCTCTACGTTCGGAGACTCTGTTGGTCGCTGGGTTTTCTGTCGCTCTCACGTTTATTCTGCTGCTGCTGACCACCTGGAACATCCCACTTAGTTTATATGCGACTGTTGCTGTAGGAGGAAGTGTGTTCGTCACTGTTGGACTCCTCGTCCTGCTTGAGTGGCAGCTGAGTGGCGTAGAGGCCCTGCTCATATCCTCCGCCGCAGGGCTTTCTGTTGACTTTGTAGCCAACTTTTCCATTTCCTACAATTTAGCTCCTCATTCAGACAAGATAGGAAAAGTGGCTCACTCTACTAAAAGAATGGGATGCCCTGTAGCAATAGTTTCCGGTGCATTTTTCTTCATGGGCATCGTCATGCTACCATCCACTGCCTTACATTTTAGAAAAATAGGGATTTTCCTGTTTCTGGTGAAATGTGTGGCGTGTGGGTTTGCAACCTTCTTTTTTCAGTCCCTGTGCTGCTTTTGCGGGCCGCAGAGAAACTGCGGAAGAATCACGCCGCCGTGTTGCTTGGAGGACACAGACGGCGCCGTGCTGCCCGCCTGCTCCGAGCCCGGCTCTTCGCCTGCTGCCAACGGGGCTTTCAGCAGATCCAGAGGGAGGCGGAGTTATGACAAAGAGGCAGGTGGTTACCTCGACCCCGACCACCAGCGTCAGCACAGACACAAACAGACCGGAGGAGGAGGTTTGCACAGCGGCGCAGAGCAATACGAGCTGCAGCCTCTGGCCTTTCGCCTCAGCGACAGCTTTGAAAACAGCACCTGCACCAGCAAGCTGTCCAACCAGCCCTCGGTGCTCTCAGATGAAATTGAGTTTTGTGGGGTAGAGGTGAGCAAGAAGGATTTGGATCCAGCCCTTCAAACCTCATCCCCTTACAGAAACAGCCTCCGCCAAGCAGGCCAGCTGCAGGAAGATGTAGCGACTGGAAATCTGCTGTGCAAAACCTGCTGGGGTCAATCAGTTGTGGGGAAGCAATGGAGCAATACGTCTTACTCCTCATCATCGAGCATAGAGGAAACCATCATCAGCCACACAATGGAGACCACAGACCAGCAGTCGTTCTGCAAGGATGAAAATACCACAAAGGAGGGTCACAATCAGCACTTCCAGTCTCAGAGCTCCTGCGAAGGCCTGGAGGATTCCTGCGAAACATGTCTGAGTGACATTGAGGCGGGGTCTTCAAACCCGCAACAGGACGATGGAGAGACGGCGGCTCAGCTGCAGCCAGGACACCTCAACGGCAAGAGAGACATGCTGAGGCTCTCGCTGAAGGAAACGGTTTACGAGACGAAGGACCGCAGCAGCCGGAGTGAAGAAGTGGTCATCTTACCCAACAGCAGGCCAGACCTGCCAGACGTCTGGATAAAGCGAGACGGACAGCGGGAGGACGCATGTTGAGCAACACGATGCTGCGGATTCGCAGTAATTCAGGACATTTCAACATTTAGTGCTTGAATTGAAGGCATCAGGACTTACTTCCTTGTTTCCTGAAGACATTTTACCGCTCACCTTCTGAGGGTTCAAAACGTAGAAAACAGCAGCTGCGTTTCCATCCACTATGTAATTGCGCATACTTGGAATATTTTAAAAAGTTTTAGCGCTAGGAAAGGATGATTTTTCATCTATATCTAAATTAGTCACAATATAAACACTTTTTCTCATCACGCGAGTCACATGACCAGCAACCGAATGTTGCCACTGACATAAACCACAAAGAAGACAGCAGGAAGTAGTTGAAGGTTTGTGATATTTTATGACTTATCACGTGAACAAACTTATTAATAAATGCTGAAATTCTGCTGTTTTGACATGAGCAGATTATTGAGAGTTTTGCAACAGGACCGTGAAGGTCTTGAATCCCTGATTCACCTGTATGTCCTACACTGTAAAACATTTGAAGGTGGTTTAACTTCAAAATGAAACTTCATCTGCTGCCTTGAAAATCCAACTTATGTCAACAAGAAAATCGTTTGGTTTTAACTCATAAATTAATATTCATGAAGTTAATTTAACAAAGAGTGAGAAGTTGCATAAACATTGTTTATTAAGTTCATTAATCTTGAATTGTGAGTTTTAACTTAAGGCTGCAATTTAAACCAGATAATTATTTCACAATATGCAAGAAAAAACTGTCCTCTCCTAGTTAAGGAGCCACATTTCTCTATTATTTTTACTCACAATATCAAGTTAAAATAATGACTTATTTTACTTTAGAATAATTTAAACTGTTGTTTCAAATTGCATGAACAAAATTTCTGATCTGATAATGACTTTTTTTAAAACTGATTCACTTTGCAATGAATTTGCTCAAAAACATTTAGTGTGAACAGGACATTAAAATAAACATTTGCCTTAATAAAACACGAGTTGGATCAATGTAACGCACTTCCATCTCAGGATACAAAAACATACCACTAAGCATTCTGGGAAATAGTTCCCATTCCTGTTTTTTTCCTCTTTTAATTTTTTAAAGTGCTAACCTAAAAACTCAACTCTTGGATGTTTGAGAAAATTAATTAAAAACAGTTAACATAACTTACTGCTGTAAGTTTATCTTTCACAAACTCACATTTAGGCTCAAAATCTAAAATTGGATACATTTATTTGACTTAAAGAGTAGAAGACAGTAGACACAACTAAATGCAGGTCATGTGTTTTACAGTGTAAGAGTTGTTTGGGTCGTGTTATGACTCAACGTTCATCTCCATCTTGTTTGGGCAGAAAAAATTTGTGCTTGGAGAAAGAAAAGAAGAAAGAAATCAACAATAAACAGAGAAGATGGCTTTTAATCTCTAACACCCACCTATAATCTGAGCATTCCTTCAGTAAACAGGAGGAAAAAGTCAATCTGCCTTCTGCTGAAGCACTTATGATCATTTTAAGCAACCTTTTCCGAACACTGTGCATTTATTGCTATTAATTTATAAAACCTGTTGTATTTATAGAACCACGAAATCATGCAAAAAGTTACCAAACGTAAGAAAATGTGGGCCAACTGCAAATGTAAGAAGTGACACTGTGTTTAATGTCGCTATAAGGTTGTCTGTCTGTTGCAATGAAGTCATTCACAGAAATGGGTCAAATCATGACCTTTAACCCCGGCAGAGCATAACAAAAGCTGTTCAGGCACCAGTTGAAATCAAGACTGTTGCATGTTTACCACTGAAATCTTGACAAAAGCCTTTTGTACCACTGAACCTGAACATATCTGACACTCACTGATTCACTTGTTGTTCCTTATTATATTCATGCAAAATCTTGTTCTGCAAATACACATTTAATACTAACCATTTTTTTTTCTTCTTTAAAATGTCAAAGTTTGGGCTTCTGAAATACAAATTTCAGCTTCTTTGTAGGAGTGGGTTGGTATAAAACAGCAGAAAAGTGCTAAAAATACTGTTTACTTTCTGTACATTCACTGCTGAAAAAGTTAAATTTTACTGTACATCATTACTCACCCACTATAATTAAGATTTAAAAACTTTTCATAACCGACCCAATGGTTTGTTATTGAGCCTTTGCACGTGATGTCACAGTCTTCAGAACTCCGCCATGATGGAGGTCAAACTCCACCATGATGGAGGTCAAACTCCGCCATGATGGAGGTCAAACTCCGCCATGATGGAGGTCAAACTCCACCATGATGGAGGTCAAACTCCGCCATGATGGAGGTCAAACTCCGCCATGATGGAGGTCAAACTCCACCATGATGGAGGTCAAACTCCGCCATGATGGAGGTCAAACTCCGCCATGATGGAGGTCAAACTCCACCATGGTGGAGGTCAAACTCCGCCATGATGGAGGTCAAACTCTGCCATGATGGAGGTCAAACTCCACCATGATGGAGGTCAAACTCCGCCATGATGGAGGTCAAACTCTGCCATGATGGAGGTCAAACTCCACCATGATGGAGGTCAAACTCCACCATGATGGAGGTCAAACTCCGCCATGATGGAGGTCAAACTCTGCCATGATGGAGGTCAAACTCCACCATGATGGAGGTCAAACAACCAAAGTTAAGCCTGCCAAAAAGTGGACATCTTGGTAGCCTATTATCGCTTTTATTTAGTTCATTTCACTTTAAGAATGGTGACAGGATGTTGCGGGGTGGGTTGTACAGATAAGGGTGAAAACCAAACTTGTCATTTTGTTGCATAACTTTTAATGAGGCTATTGGAAGCGATGATAGCAGCTGCTAATAGTAATGCCTATCAGCTGGACTTTTTACAAGGTAAGAAGATTAACGTTCACATACTTCATAAGTAATACAATTAGAAAAACAGTATTCAATATAGTACTATGGGAAAAGTACATGTCTAGTAACCATGGAAACAATGCCCACCATCATGTAGCCTAGCATGCAGGGGAAAAACCTGGTTAGCATCTCGTCTTTTGGTCGTTTTCAATGCTGCTTTTTGTGACATATCATATAAATCACTCCAGGCGACACATGATCAACACGTAAAAGGAAGCAGGTATGAATCGGTTTCTAAGCTTTTAAGCTAGCTGTTTCCAACTTGTAAATACCGCCGTCTGTGAGGCCCAACCCGGTGTGTTACGTTCACACACAAATCATCTCGACTCGACCAAGAAGAAGCCACAAAGAAACTGGCAAAAGCAACTTAGGGAAACAATTTCAGTTGCTCTGTTCAATACACCCAACGTCCATCATGGCGCCGCGAATGATTCAGCTGCACACGATTACGGAGCACAGCAGTGCAGCATTGCTCCTCCCCACATGTTGCTGCTCACGCTGACTCCAATGAATTTCCTATATGTTTCCGTTTACTTACAAGTAAGAAAACTTGGGCTGTTTTGGAAGTTTGTCACTCTTCTAATGCTAGCTCAAAATTACAGTTGGAACGGTGATGTCTGCTACAACAGCAGATAGCTTTACTCCCAGTATTACGCTGCAATACCTGTGCAATTTTCAGTTCCAAATAAAAACATTTAGATTATTTTATGTTTTAAAATTATATATTTAATTTATGACTTATATTTTTATGTGAAATTGCAATTCTTACTCAAGACAAAAGGACATTGAGTATCCCTTATGGTCATAAGCTAAAACTTTTAAAAGTGTATTTTTTTGTACATTATGGTGTAATTATGCCTTAATTATATGTGTAGCATGTAAGATATTCTGGTGATACCCCTAAAGCCATTTATTATTGTTATTAGAAGTCTAAAACAATCCAATACAATCATTCCTGGAACAATTTACGATAAAAAGTGCTCTTTGTCCGAAAGTTGATGTTTGTTATTGAGTTGGTGCTTCGACATTTGGAAGTGATTTCTTTCCCTCGTTTTGTTCAATTTAAATAAAGCTGATGCAGACAGGTGGTTGGTGTCGAATCAGAAAACCAGATGTGGAAATTCTGTTCAAGAAATGCTCAGCAGGTCAAACATCTGAGGTTTTTGGTCAATCAATAATTGGAAAAGAAAAGAAAATTTAGTTGTCCTGAAGGATTTAAATATAATAATTTGTGATTATTGCCCATCACTTTAAATCACAAACAGATTTCAAAGAAACAGACATTTACATTTTTTTTAAATCGAAGTATTGAGCAGAATGAGGCTGTAATTTAAATTTATACCAGGGAATTGTCAAATATAAACTATCTATTTTTAATCAAAGCAAAACTTTATTGGTGTCAGAAAAGTATTTGTCTTTGCTTGTTGTTTGTTTGGGTAAAAAATGTGCTTTGTGTTCCTCTAAATGATATGAAGTGAAAAAACAGAGGCTTTAGAGTGGTTCAGCATGAGACCTTGGCAAGACTTTCATAAAATGTGCCTCTGAGTTGTTAAAGCTTTTGACGCCATAAGTGTGATTAAGTTCTTAGAAAGTCTTTGTTCTAGCAGTCAGCAGAATAATCTGCCTTAAACTCAAGAAAGAACAGTCCGGCTTTTTATTTTGTGGTGGAAAAGACACCTCAGCTGCACCATCATCACATCCAGCTGTCTGAGTTTCCACCTTTTCACAAACCTGAAATAAAACTTTTGATTCAGACTTTTGTCGTCTGTTTCTGATCGTTTACTTCCAAAAGGTGCTGAAACATAACAGTAATATTGATATTGTTGATACCAGCATTCCTAATGATGGTAAACAATAAATACACATGCAAGTGGATGAATGGAAATGTTATTCGTAGTTCACGTCTAGAGGTAAACCGATTTCTCTATCAGGTTATTTATCGATATGCATTTCCTTAATTATGGGAGATCAGTGATTGGGAGATAATTGCATATGAAGCCAATCTTTTGTTTTGCGTGTCGACACGCATCAAGCGTGTCCAGCTTGGCCAATGCTGGAGTTGGAAAAGCTGAACTTTTGGACGAACAGTCTCAACCAATTACAGAGTCCACTACGTGACTCTGTGGCCTGTAGTTGGAGATGCAGGCACCATGTTAGCAAGTCACCAAGACGCCCAGCTGGCTTGTGAAACTCACAACACCTCTGAAATATCTGATGAATTCAAACACGACGACATTCTGTTGATTTCAGTGAATAAAACTCAATATTTCATCCATCATTGTTCAAAGTAACTGGGAGAGGAAAAAAGGAAAGAGGCTAAAACACGTCGGTGTTTTTGTTCAACAGAAACTGAACACAAAATGTTCAGTAAACCCATCTGGGCCTCCGTTATAATCCCGGAGCTTTCACTACATCGTTTTGGTGAAACTCTCTCAATATCGTCCGCCATAGTACTGGCAACAGAAAACAACATCGTGTCCCAACGTGTATTCAGAGCAACTTTGACGTTGGATGCATGTTGAGAGCAAAATGTCAAGCGTCTGACTTCAAAGTGCAACCGAGCCCAACTTGAAGCGTCGGATTCATTTTGACGCCAGAAACCTGTTTGGTGTGAACTCATTTTCAGTCTCATGTTTTAGATTAAATCCCAGTTATGAATCACCTGAAACATATTCAGATCTTTATACGCATGTTCTTCCTTTTTGGTTTGATGTAATTCTTCAAGTCTGAAAATCAGCCACTGTCCTTTTCCACTAGATCATGTTTGCAGTTGACAATAGTCACCCCACTGTTTCAAACTCAGCAATTTTCTTGATACAATTCTATTTATAATGCAACATTTCAGACAAAAAAATAAATAAATTGGTATCGTCCAAAATCGACATTGTGAGAAAATATCTTTCTAGATCTGAAAAATACTGAAGCAAAATCTCAGATCGGATCCATGCAGGGTTTTTTAACAAACCTGAAATAAAGCAAATTTTTCAGTAGCAGCAGAAGTTGGTTTATTTCACATGTTTGAAATTAAATACAAACAAAACTCCCACTGAGGCGTTTTACAGCAACGTCTTCAGATAATCTCCTGAGAAGAATCAAAATAAAACCCCAGAAATTAGAGACAAAATAAATAAACGAGGTCAGCTGAGATCGGTCTCCTCCCAGTCCGCTTCGGCCCAGACGGGTAACTGTGTGGAATATTCAAAGTCCGGTCCTTTGTAGCGTAAAGCGTGGAGATACATGACGAGCTCCTTCTCCGTGGGGTCCGGTCGCACCAGCTTGCATTCGCTGCACAGGTGGTCCCGGCTTCCTGGGGGACTTTTCTGACCCGATTCAGCTCCAGTTGATCCAAAACTCTGATGCTCCTCTGGTGGAACCTGGCTGGAGTTTTCTTCCTCCGTTTGTGTCGGAAAAGCCTTTGTTTTCTCTGCTTCCTTCGCAGCGCCGCAGTCATCCACGAAGTCCAGCAGGTGTAAACTTTCCTGAGAGCGATGTTCTTCCACTAAAGCCTGCAGCAGCTCTTCGTCGCTCTTCCCCACCAGGCCCCCTTTGGCCCTGTGGGGGCCCCAGGCGAGGGACCCATATATGGGGTCGTTGAGGATGGGAAAGCCCAGGTACTGCAGGTGGACTCGGATCTGGTGTGTGCGGCCGGTGAGCGGTAAACAGCGGACTACGCTGGTTTTGCCGTTGAAGCTGAGTCTCTGGAAGACGGTTCTGCTCTCTTTCCCTTTCGGGTCGACCCGGCAGAGCCCGATTTTAAAGGAGACCACCAGGATGGGCTCCTCACAGATCAGCTCGCCCTCGGGAAATTCCCCCTCTACTCGACACACATACTCCTTCTCAAGCTAAAATCATGAAAAACAAAAAAACGTAAATGATTAGAACAAAGCTTTTCTTAATAAAAAAACGTATGACGATATAATAAACAGCCAGTTAAGCAAAGTTGGTGGAATCAACTAACTCACTCACTCCTTGGTTGCCTAGCAACAGCCTGCTGAGTAACTTGCACAGCAGCAGTTTCAATTTCTGCCACAAACTTATAGCAACTGCTTAAAAATAAAATAACACAACATGGAGTGAAAACTTTGCATAAAAGAGGAAAGTTGGTCGTAATTCAGATATTTAAAACAAAATTATTGATAACTATCCATTAACTATTTTTTTTTATTTTCATCTTTTAATACATTTCTGATATTTATTAAAAATGGCCTTAAATGTGAAAATTAGGCCTGTTACGATAATAAATTTTGCTGGATGATAAATTGTCCCAGTAATTATTGCGATAACCGATAATAATGTTGTTTTGAGACCATTTTAAATTAACACAGCGACAGCATAACAATGCAAGGACACATTTCAAAGATCAAATCCTAACATTCAACACTGGAACTGGTAGACATTTTAAATATCAAAAATAAGTGAACTAAACAAAGGAAATGACAAATAAAATGAATTATGAAGCATCTCTAGACAAATTTATCCTTAAAAAAAAGACTAGTTGAAACCAGGCAGAGGACTTTGTCATCGAGTCTTTGGTAGAAAGAGACATGATAAATCATACAAATGGAAATTATTGAAATTGTTTTAATTTATCATGCGACTAACTGACTTATTGTTTATTGTGACAGACTTAGAGGCATTTTTTTTATCCGATTAATAATCAGAATAAGATAATTTCCCCCAGAAAACCTGCTAATCCTGTTGGTAGGAGCTCGAGGGCAGCCCACGTAATTTGGTGCTAAAAATATTTTAAATTTACAAAAATTTGGAGGAACGAAGAGGTGAAATTTTAAAATAATAGCTTGTGGGGCAAATGGGCGCAAGTGGTACCGCTTCAAGTGTAGACCTAGATTAATCCATCTTTACTATTTCTGGTGTTTAAAACCCTATTTAAGATAAACAATGTTAGCCTGGCACGGAGGCAAGTAAAGCCTGGCGACCTGCCAGGCTGATAATGCCGGTCAATCTCTAGATCAACAGATTAACCAAAAACTAAAGTAATCAGTAGTTACAGCCCTAGTCCCGTTCCAGACGTACCTGTCTGTCCCTCACCAGCTGGTCCAGCTTCTTGGACGTCTCCAGCGTCCGGGCGAACAGTAACACCCCGGAGGTGAGTCTGTCCAGTCTGTGGACGGTGTGCAGCTTGGACACGCCGTGCTCTTTCCCCAGGATGAAGATCACCGTGTTGTGGCGGAAACGGCCGCACGGATGGACGGGGATGGAAGCCGGCTTATCGACCACGAGGACTTCCCCGTCGTCCACCAGGATCTTTAGCGGCGCGCCGATTACGGGAGGCTCATGGCGATGCACGGTGTTCCTCATGTGGTCGTTATTCTACAGAACATCACTTATTTTAATAATTAGAGCTATTTTGTTTATTTCTTTTTTTAGGGTTTGAAACAAAGAAACAAACTTATTTTTATATGGGGAAACAACTAATCTAAGGTAATAGTCGAGGTTATTTCAGAAAACATGTAGCTGGATGCAATTAAGAGAGCTGTTCAAGAAATAACTACTTAAGTACTTCTAATTACAAGTAAAAGTGTTATTTCTTAGAAAATGAGATTACATCACACATCCCACACAGAGGGTAAGCCAAAAAGCTAACTGCTGAAGATGCTAACTGCTTAACAAGCACAACCATAAGATATAGTGGCATTCATGGTGCAAATATATACAATTTGTTTATTTATTTGTTGGATTTTTTATGTGTGTCTTGATAGGAGAAAATAATGTACTTTTTGAATGGGTTGAATATGACTTAATCCATCTGGGGGCTGTGGTCACCTCCGACCCACCCTTTGGGATCACCACTGCTTTAACACCACTGCTTTGTTTTGTTAGGAGCCACTTTTGAGCAGTTAAATAAACAGACACTAATGGAGTAACACTGTATGCCAGTGAACTGGGACGTGCTTTAAGGTGGATTTAAATGTTTTCTGACAGCACTGACCCTGAGCACCACGGACAGGTCATCCACAGGACTCTCGTTGAGCCGGATGCGGCCCTCTTTCGCAGCCTTCTCATAGTACTCGACGGACTCCGCTCTGAACTCGCTCTTGAAGACCTCCAGCAGGCTTTTCCCGACCCACCGGCCTTTGCAGTAGGTTTTAAAGTCAAAGTAATAAGGGGAAACTTTGCGCAGGCCGCCTTCGAAGAAGTAGGACGTCTCGTCGAAGTGTTCCTGGCCGAAGCTGACCTCCGGATTCCGTTTCTGGGGCGGTGGGACGTACCTCTCCCCGGGACGGAGCTTCTTCCCTCCGGCTCCTCTTCGCTTCTTATCCCGGCCGCCTGTCTCCTGGGACTCCGGCGCGTCGTCGTGTTTGCGTTTCCCGGTGTTTGTGTCCTGCTCCTCCATCGTTAAACTCCCCTGTTTAGGCCGCGGATTAATAAAACGGCGAGTCACAGGTTTCCTGATGTTAGCAGATGAAAATAAGTGAACAATATGCCACCAAAACAGACTCTGGAGTTCCAGGAACAACACAAAACTTCTAGCTGATGCAGGCGCATGCATCGCTTGAGTATTGGCGCGCAGATATGACGTCATCACGTGAGCCAACGTGATCCATTTGTAATTCTGTCAAATGAAAGACGTTACGTTAGATCATTTTAATGTTTAAAAGACTTATTATGCATAACAATAATGATACATATTAATTTTTACATTTTACCAATTAGTTATGTAATCTAATTAAGGCTAAATTATCATAAATAAGATTATAAAATAAGAGTTATTATTGTGGTACTTTGAAGTTATTAATAAGTTACCCCAATAATGGCAAGACAAAATTGTAATATTTAGTAGCAAGCAAATAAAACATAGGTTAAACACATAATAAACAATATTGAAATAGAAAGTGTATAAAATCTGATTTTTGGGAGTGATCCACTGGAAATATTAGGAATATTAAAAACATCTTAACATTTTATGACTTAATAATCTCAGAACTGCACTGAAAACGTGGATTTTTTTCTATATTGTTTGCAAAAACGTGCTTAGAAATTAAAGAAAAAATATGAATTAAAAGATACATTTCTTTTTAAAATAAATGCTAAAATAATGTGATTCAGTTTGATACATCAGTGGAATAATTGTTGCAGAAATTAATATTTTTCACTGTGTAAATAAATAATAAAACTTTCGAAAACTGTTTCCTGAAAAAATAACCCAAGGTTTTTGATTATCATTTTTAATTATCTTTTAAATGTTGAATTCCTTTTCTTTTAGAAACACAACCAGGAAAAATGTTACTCCTTTGTATGTTGCATGTATAAAAAAAACACATGGATGGTAATATTTCAGCTTAAAATAAATCAAAGTGCAAAAACTAATTTTTTAATGTGATTTATTAAGAAACAAGATTTACACACTTCATACAATATTTCTGTTGTTAAATATATTTCTCAAGTTTTGGCACCATTCTCTTCTTAGAAGATGAAGCTTTCTGTCTGCCAAATATAGATTAATTCAATAAGCAAAGTGTTTTTTATTACAGAATAATGGCTTATGTGCAGTAATTGTTGATTCTCTGAACTGCAAAAACACAAAATCTCACTAAGTATTTCTGGTCTAATTTTTACTGCAAATACATGTGACAAAACTAACTTACAAGTAACTTCTCAGCAACCTTTAACAGCTTGTTAAGTAAATAATTCCTTAATATTGATGGAAAAAGTACTAGTTCAACTGGCAGATTGTTTCACCTGTAAGTAGTACTTTTTAATCAATATTATGTAAAGAAACCTCCTAAATGTTACTTAAAAGATTGTTTTGTCTTATTTCAAGTGTACTAAGATATTTACACCAGAAACTGGACTATAAATGCTTTTTGTTTTTGCAGTGTAGAAATGACAGTTTTCTTCCCTATAAAAAAAATCTCTTCTTTCTCATCCTCGCTGATGCTTTGCTTCGTCCAAGAACTCTGGAAAAAGGTTAATCAGTAAACCTCGGGTCTGTTATTCAGTCATTTATTAAGTTAGTCAATCTGTTCAGGCGCAGCGAGAACAGCGGACCCCCTGCGGCGCCAGTGGAGCAGGAGGTCAATAACAGCAGCTGTTATGGTTCTCCACCGCCACCTGCTGGAGGATCAGCAGCACTGCAGTCAGAGTTCGTCTCTGCAGGCAAAAACACAGCAGATTAGTGAAGGCAGTGGGCCACCAGGGGGCGCCTGTCAGGGCCTCAGACAGGAATGCCATAATTTTTTTAAATTTTACATCATCATTTTTGTATGTTATTCAATAATTAATAAATAAATGAAGATAATTGATTTAAATATTATTTGTGTTGCTCATATTCTAATTGGCTGCCAGTCAATACAGATAAATAGATCAATTAGATCAGATAAAATAGATAATCTATTAATCTACCTAAAATAGATGAGTAAATTAAGTGAGATAAATTAAATTTAAAGTCAGATGGATAGACAGAAAAAATTTTTAAAAAAAGGAATCAGAAACCATAAAAACTGTGGGAATAAAATCAAATTTGATGTCATTAATATAAAATATTACATATTTTTTTGTAGACAAAATAATTGTGATGAAAAACTGAATCATCATTCAATAACTGATGGCCATCTAAAATCAGAAATTTGAGGAAACGTTTCTGGAGAAGTTTGTGCCGTTTTCTCACCCCGGCCACTGCTGCTTCTTGTCAGTTAGCGGGACGTAAACCACGCCCATGAGCACCTTCTTCAGGAAGGTCCCGTCGCTTTGTCGGTCGTACTGCTCCAGTACCTGACCACCACTTTCAGGTCCGACTGGGAGAACCAGACGCCCGCCTGGCTTCAGCTGCTTCAACAGCTTTAGTTAACAGAAAAACAAAACGGCTCATATATGAACTTTCACAAACATTTCACTCTAATTATCTTGAAACAGACAGATTATAGGGGGACATATTTCTGTAAAACAACTTGATAATGTGAGAATCTGACTTGAAATGCAAACATGTTTTCCCATTTTCTTTTTTCGTTTCTTTAGATCTTTACAGACAAACAAAAAAGTATTTCTATTTTTAGATTTTAAAATACAAACAAAATCTAGCTTCGGGTGGAATAAATGAATTCCTCATTCAGTTCTGCTGAATCAAGAGTTTCTGTTTCCAAATTTCCCAGAGAGCTAAGCTAACATGAACTTACAGCTCTGGGAACCTTCGCTGCAGCTGCACCAACATGGATGGCATCGTACGGCGCTCCATCTGGGTATCCAAGTCTTCCATCCCCAACTATAATCAGATGGAGTTTTAACAGCTACTCTAGTCACTTCCTGCAGCACATTTTAATTAGGAATATTTTTAAATAATCATATTAAAGTATTAAAAGTTGACCGACTCACCAACTAGTCTAATGCGTCCAGACGACAGCAGTTCTGAATCGTCATTTTGCACATTTTCTATCGACTTCTGAACGAGTTCTTCAATGTGTTCGATGCCAATAACTCTACCAGTGGGTCCTGTCTACTCAGTAAACAAAAGCAAAAATCAGTAGTTAATCTGTAATCAGCAGAGACAAATAAAAACCACCATGCAGTTTCCACAAGTCTGAACGGGAAGTGATCTGCGCCATCTTGGTAGGCAAAGAATAGATGCCCCATGTCTTCCAGTCCAACAAAAAAAAATTATATTGACATTTTTTACCGATGTGCAGCAGAAATCCGAGTGACGTTACACTCTCCACCTTCTGAAAATCTAACAAAATTGGTGTCAGATGGTTGTACAGCATACATTTTTGTAATAAATGTTTCAGAGGTCATGAGATGTCAACCAGCCTGTCCACATTTTGTCGAGTCTGAAAAAACTGGTGTCAATCCACTTGATTACAGTTGTGCAGTAAATAGTTTTTGTTTGTTCCGGTTTTGCTTTGGTATTAATGAAAGTCCACCAAATATTTGTGCTACGTTGGTGCAGTAAAAAAGTTAAAATTGTGCTGTTATCATTTTAAACATATTAATGAAAAAATTCTAGAGGTCATCAGAGGTCAAGCACACCTGCCTTACTCATACCTACAAAAAATAAAAATTTGGAGTTGATTATGTTTGTGTAAAAAACAAATGTGATATATATAAATTCAGTTACGTATTCACATAATTCTACTGGGTACTTTGTAATTGACAGCCATTTTGGCAGGCAGTTGCTATGAAGTTGCTACAGGCTAAGAACTAGCGCTCACACATTTACTTCCATAGCCTACGTGTCTGTAGTATGTATTTACTCTAGTGGTTCCCAGAACCTTGTTATTCACATGAAATGTTTGCACGTCCTTTTCAAATCAGTTTCGAACATTGATTGTACGTCCATGTATCGTTTTTTTGTTGCTCTCGAAGCCATGGGTCCTCTATGCTTTGCACATCAGTTGCGCTAAGTTCACTTTCGGATCAGACTTGCGTACATACGTATCAGATGCTTATACATCATCTTTCATTACGTCTATGATTTGATGTACCATTCTTGCAAAACAGGCGGTTAAATATCCACTTCCTGAGCCGACATCCAGCGCCGTCGCTCCTTCGATTAGCTTGTCGCTCAGCAGCTCCAAAGCGTGAGCGTGCTGCGAAATTAAACCAACAACAAACATTTCTGCTTCATTTTGTTTTTTATGAGAATAAACAATAAACTCTCTCGCTGTCTGTGTATTGAGTCTCAAGTGTTTCCGGTCGGCCTCACCATGTGTGGAGCGCTGATGGTCGCCCTGAAGCCTGTAAGAAGGAAACGTTATTAGCTGGAGCTATTGCACATCTGCAGCAAAAGGTGTTCACTGTTAGTGTAAGTCGAAACACTAAATCCTGGGGTTTTTAACAATGATTTACTTCTCAAACACAGATGCATCTCCGTGATTTGGAATGTCGCTGAAACATTAATATTCACAGAATCTGGTGTAGCTTTAATGCAGTCGGAAAGAGAGCCAGCAAAGAACAATTAGGCTTCTTGGGATAAAAGTATTAATCAATAAAACAGTCATTTTCATGATTTATCAATTTTTTCTCTTTCTACCAAAGAAAGATCTGGTGCTTCAGCTTTGTTTTTTGTTTACAGAGACTTCATAGTTATTTTTTTGTTGTTAAGTTTATTTATTTTGTATATTTAAAATGTTTGCCAGTTTCAGTGCTAAATGTTCATTAAAATGTCAAATTTATTCATCTTAATGAATGTGTTCTTGAATTATTATTATTATACAGTATTACTTGAAAGTTGTCTCAAAACAACAATATTGTAGTTTATCACAATAATTTCTGGTACAATTTACAGTTTAGCAAAATATCCTCAAAAATGTGCAGCAAATGTGTCATTTTTAGTCCAAAAGCACCACACCAGCCTTGTTTCACCATTTGAAGACAAAACAGAGGAGTTACAGTAATTAAGTTGTTTTCGAACATAATTTTATTGTGTATTTTCAGTTTTTATATTTTTTTACAGCTTAACTCGCGTCCTTTCTTTCTGTGCATTTTTTCTTGAAATATAAAACTAAATCAAAGGCATTTTACTCTTAAGGCTGCATTCATTTGCAAAATACCATCAGCATAAATGATCAACACTGAGATGTGGCAGAGCTGGAATAAATATTTCTAATATTAACTACTCGAGATATTGAGCCACAATCAGGTGGAATAAACACTTGGAAATACATCGCTGTTTGTGTGTAAGTCAGTATTCGAATTGAATCACTGGAATAAAATGACTGTTCTATTTATTTCAGATTTAATGAGATGCACTGGTATGTGTTTATAGATGGAGTACCTATTGTTTGTGGAGAGTCTGCATAAGGATAGTCTGTGGAGTAAAGTCCTCTGTCAGTGGCCAGCATGGCGTCAAATACTCTGTTGCTCTGGATCACTCCGTTATCTGAAGGGAAAAAGAAATATTAATAAAAAAGAAATAATAGGCAAGCACAGACATATTTAGATTTCTGACTTTGAAGAAAGCAATAAAAACATTCTGTCTTTTAATTCTGGCATTTAGCAAGTAAAAATAATTCTGGTTTTCTTAAGAGAACTAAAAAGTGATAAATTTTAGTCTGATCTGAGATCGAACTGTAAGGTTATGGCAGGCCATCTTAACATAAACTCAACTGAGTTTTTTCTAGAAACAACTACATTTAGAATATTCTAAATAGTAAGAACAACAATTCAAGATATCTTCTTTTACATTTTGACAGATTAAAATTGTTTTGTCACTTGATTTGAAAAATTACATATCCATAATTACTAAATAGATCTTTAACTTAAATATGACTAGTCAAAATTGAATCAAATGAAACCATTATATTTGTATTTGTCACATTTTAGAGGGGTGGCAGGTATTATGTATGTATTTTCCAGGTACTTGGTGCTATTTAAACGCACAATCAAGTGATATGCTACCTTCAAAAATACTGCATGCATCAAACATAACTTAACAGAAAATTGGCCTCTGTCTCTTTAAGAAGCTCCTGTTCTTTCCAACTCTCACGACACACTGGTAACACCGGTAACAACCATTCTTAGGAGGGTTGCACCAGATGTTTCTCTGATTGTTGCTGCCACTAGTCTGGAGGACCTGAGAGGAAAAGATTCCCCAAAATGGGAGGGGCTTTGTGGAAATGGGCAGAGCTTTGTGATAGCAAGTGTTTAGGCATCTTCCAAATGTCTGCCCAGGGAAATTCAAAGACTCCTCAAACATGCATGAACAAATCAAAGCGACTCTATGTGTGTTTTTGATGAGAAATTTACTTTACAACATGACATATAGCTTTAAAAAGTCGATTTTAGATCATAGCCCCCCTTTAAGCAGTTATGTCTACATGTGAATGCAATATTTAAAGACAAACAACATAGAAACGATTCCCACGGCTTTTCCCTTCAGTCCAGTACCTCTGAGTCTACTGATGAGCTCTGGGTGCGTTTTTCCGCTGGACCTCCACGCCATGGTGCGGGACAGCAGGACACCCATCGGGACTGCCACTGCTACAAAGCGCAGGGCAGCGTTCATTTCCCGGGTGTCCCGGGGACAAATTCACGCAGCTTTACTCGCCAACAGCATTTACAAAGAAGGCGCAGAAATGTTCTGTGTGCTGAAATGCAGAACAGCGGCACAATTTTTAAGAAATGCACCAATTTTTAAGAAATGCACCAGCTTCTCAGCAAGCTAGCGAGCGGATAGCTAAAGTTCATGCTAATAAGAAATCGGAATAAAAAAGTACAGTGTAAATAACACTGCTTTTCTGGTCACATTTAAAGTTTACTGTCGTGAGTAGATGAAATATTAATAGTTGTTTACCTTGAAGTTGGTCACCGTCCCTTTAAAGAGATGAACACTTCCTGACTGTCAACGGAGCTATGGAAGCCGTTAGCCAATAGGATCCTGACTTTGCACGCCGCAGCACATAGAGCACACTCCTCATTGGCATTGGTGCCCAATAGAGAAGCGGAACGACACAGTGTCCGCCATATTGTGAGTGGCAACTTTTCCTGACTTCCACTTAAAATTTTTTTTTTGAGGTTTAAAAAACGTCTAACTGATTTTGATATAGCTTTTCACATTCAGTAATATATTTTTACATATATTAAAATATACAATGAACATGAAAACATGAAAGCTAATATCAATTTGGCTCAGGTTGCAAATTAAAATCTTATTTTATTATAAATTATTTAAAATTGTTTGTTTAATTGGACGAAAAGATTTAGAGCACCTTATAATGTCTAAAACGGGACAAGTCAGTGAACATAGCAGAATGAAAGATTATCCTGGTTAGGATTTCTCTTTTATATGATATTTCTAGGTGATATTATAGTTTTTCTTAATTTCATGTGTGTCTGCCCTTTGCTAATCTTATCCTATTGACAATTTATTGGTTTTGTTTGTGTTTGTAGCTCTAAAGGTTAAAAGACACGTATTTTTACTTAGCTTTATGTTTAAATAGTTTAATTTGTTTAGTGTTATTAATGTTTTGTTTTGTAGTAATTTAGTGCAATTTCCCTCAGTATGCCCTGCCTTTTGTTTGGTTCCAGTTGTAAATAGGAAAAAAAAGTCAAGTAGTCCAAGGTTAAATAATGAAAGATTACTTTTTATTATGATCATTAGTAATTAATGTAGTATAATATTGTTTCTATTATATTATCTTTACTTTTTATGTATCATAATGTATTAGTATCAGTAATCGTGATTTCCAGTTATTCATTTCTATGTTATGATAAGTAGCAAAATAGACAACATTTTTAGCTTTTGATGTCTCACAATCGTGTAACTGGACAAAAATATCTTGAAATTACCTTCACAATATGGCGCAAAGGTCGACGTACGATCTGCACTATGACGCCACGTGCACGCCTCTTTTACGTGTTTGAGTGATTATCCAATGAGATCTCAAGAACGTCTGATTAACAGCCGTGGCGTCCAATCAAATTCACCCTGCGCTTGAAAGCGGTGTTTGGACGACACAGTTAGCTGCGGAAGCTAAACTTCAGTTTAACTTTATAAATCATCGTAAATACATATTGACCAGGTGATATTATCTACCAGGTAAGACTCCTTTGTTGATGTTATTTGATTTGTGTTGTCGTTTATTGTGAGGAGAGCATTTCAGATGCCTCAGGAAACGGTGAGTGTCGTTATTAAAGGAAAAATAACGATTCAAAACCAATCTCTGCTCAGCGCTGACTGGACAAGGATGGTTGATAACTTCGACGGTCAGGAGGTTCAAACCAGCGGGGAGTTGTGGACGCAGATCTGCTCCAGCCTCCCGGAGGTCCCGGATCCGGAGACCAGCCCGGAGTTCACGGACTCCTTCCACCCAGCAGCCCAAGCTGGTGCACAAGTGAATGGGACCAGTTCTCCCAGTGCTCAGTGGAAACCCATGGAGGACTCCGAGTCTTACTTAGCCAGTTTAGGTATTTCTCTTCTGCTCTTCATCTGAAAGAAACACAAACACGGTGCAGATTATGAGTTAAATGCTAAGTTTATGTTACAAAATCACCAAAAAATTGCTAACCACAAACATTTTGTTGATGTTCCCATGAATTGTTCAACAAAATATTATTGCTGAATGTTTTTTTCATGTTCTTTTAGTCTTAATTACTGTATACAATAATAATTCATAACAGAAAACACATGAAAATACAATCTACCTGAACCATCATACTGGTATTTACAATAAAAAAGTATTTACTTCAAATATTTTTTTTGTTTTTGTTTCAGAAGATCAAGACATGTTTAATATTTGACAAAAAAGAAAAACCTAAATAAATTCAAAAAGCAGTTTACAGTTGATTAGTTTGAGTCTTAAGAGGAAACCAGACATCCAAATCTATATAAATATATATGATTCTTTGCGAAAACATAATTGTCTCCCTCATTAAGCTATAAATTAACTGTGATTAAGATTTTTTCATTTTGAAAAATTGAGTCCTCGTTAGAATTAATAAATTACTTAAATACAACTTATCTGGCAGCATGAAGTAGATTAAAGCAACTAAAAGGTAGAAACTAAATGAAAATCAATAACCTATCATGGAGTATGGAGAACTGATCCTGCCAAAAATTGCCAGGATCAGCATTTTGATAAGATTTAATGCTTATCAAATGCAATGATTATAATAATTTAAGACTCACATATTTTGTTTTTATTTTATCCCAGAAAACCGTTTGAGAAAGATAAAGGGTCAGTCCAGTGACGTGACCTCCAGAGACATCCTGCGCTCGTTGTCTCAAGCTAAGAAGGAATGCTGGGATCGATTTCTGCATGACGCCCAGACCTCTGAGCTCTTCCAGAGCGACGACATGGATGAGAGGTAGGATCATCCAAATCGGGTAGTTTTTATTTACTTCCTCACTTATTCATGTGTGTGACTTAATCAAAGCCCTTCTCTGCTTCTCTCAGTGCTCTTGAGCATTTCAAGAGGTGGTTGATCCCAGAGAAGGTGGCCATCAGCGCGGAGGAGCTGGAATATCTCCTGAGGCCGACCCAGAGCACAGAACCGACCGGATCAGTTCGCACGTCGACGCATGAAGAGGAGACGGCGAGAGGAGAACAGAACGAAGAGGAGGACGATAGCAGCTCCCCAGAGAAATGAATGTGTAAATATTCTGTATAGAAGTATTAATCTGCCAAGTATTCTGTAAAAATAATTTCCTGTTCACCTTCCAGTGGATATCGGGTTCATCTGCTGATTCTCCTGGTTTTGTCTTAAATGTCCATCTTTTTCCACAAAATGATGTGTAAAACTGTACTTGTTCTCATGTGCTTCTGAAATTTACATAAATAGGAAAATCACAGTAGTTGGAAATACAAACAGCTGTAAATATTGCAATAAAATACAAACCACGTTCTGTTTTTTTAAATCTCACTTCCACAAATCAATGAGTTCCAGAAACTAATACATCATTTTATGTTTCCTTTTGTTTTGAGCATAATTTCACTTATGTTTAAATAAAAAATGTTGTGACTCTTACTTTGTTTCTTACATCCAGTAAAATGAGAGAAATTTGATTTAATGTTTTATTATTTAAAAGGAAAAAAAATCTAGCCTGTTCCCTGCAGGGGGCGCCACAGCAGATCAGATGCCTCCAGATCAGCTTCCCCTGACCCGTTTCTGTTAACTTTAACCCAAACTACATTTGGAAATGATTCACAGATACTAAACTTTATTTGAAATATGAAATATTGTATAACATGACTATGTATTAGAGTCATTGTAGAGGAAAAAAGGAGGAAATTTCTTCCAAAAAACACATTTTGAGATTAATGTGAGGAATTTTATAAAATAACAAAAAACATTTTTGAGTTTGAAAACATGCTAGAAAAAACTCAAAAATATTTGAGCATTTTAAGATCAATAAAAAATTTCTGAATTTGAAAAGTTTACAATTTGTTAGAAAAAAAATCTGAAATTTTGAGGTTATCAGAAAATTCCAAGAAATTTTAATATCAGAAAATAAGGACATTTCCTTATTTTTTTCTATGTATCGATAGAAATTAATTGTGTAATCTATATTTAATAAGTTATTTCTGTATTTCCAGTTTTAAAAAATGACATTTCAATAATTTGTTTATAATTTGGCACTCTTCACGCTCCATTAATTTTCTTGTAAAATTATGATGCTTTAACCTTCTAGGTTAATAATATAAACATGTTAGGATTTTCATATCTTTCTGCTTCGACTCTGTTATTTATGTTTTAAACATTTAGTGGAGGATAAGCTACTAGAATTCAATGTGCTTCATTAAATATCTGTTTGGCTCTTAGATTACACTCACTTTCAGCTTATTTAAAATCAAATTCTAAGTCTGGATAATTTATTGGAAAGTGGCACAGAAGTACACTTGAGTATTAAGAGTCAAGAAATCCCATTTCTTCCTGTAATTTCCATCATAGACACGAGTGGTTCATAAATGATATTTTAATTAAAAGTAAGACTCGACTTATATTTGAGCAACAAACTGCAGAGACTCTTTGATCATTAGCTATAAATCTAAACAAAAAGCAGCAGATTTATACTAAAACATGACCAACTTTATTGGCTCCACTGGCAGATTGTTTCACTTGTAAAGAAACATTTTTCCTATATTACAAGTTATCTACAGTGGAACCAGGATTTGTTTTTTTGTTTGGGGGTTTATTTTCTTCTTTTTACTTCAGTTTGGATTATAAAAACAGCTCAGGTGCTTAAAAGTGTCTGGAAAATGAGCCCTTTCAAAAACTCTCGGAATTTAACACAACAAATCAACAGGCGAAGCGTCGTTACCTAGCAACCCCAACCCCGTTACCTAGCAACCCCAACCCCGTTACCTAGCAACCCCAACCCGTTACCTAGCAACTTGTGCAAGCTATAGATATATCCCAACAAGCAATTATATCTTGCTGAAAATTTACTTTTAATTTATTTTTTTTCTTATTTAAAATGTACCAATGCATTTGCACAAGTAACTAAACTAAAATATTTGTAAGATTTTGTGTTTTTGAGGTGTAAACAAAATTGTCAGCGTTTTGTTTTTATAGAAAAGGAATGTGTAAATGTTTGTAGATCAAAAACTTCAAAATGGTTTTCCTTATTTATCAGCTACTTTAATGTTTTTCTGTTGAAGAAAGGCAGAAAAGACTGAGTATATTCTTATCAATAAAAACACAACGTAGGTCATTCTGTATTTGAAAATACTTTTGTATTTTATTTATTATGTAAATAAATACAGATTTTGGTGTTTTTTTAGTGTGATAATGAATGGATAAATGTGGCCATATCTACCATAAAATTAAAGAGAAAGCAGGAAGTTTGGTTCTGACAATTTGTCCAGAAAGTCCAAGAACTTCCCCTGCATTTGTCATCCTTTTAGTGCAGATAACATGACGTAACATCAAGCAACACATATTTCTCAAAGCCTTTCAGAGGCTGGGC